TTAATAAGCAGCTGGTACTCTTATAAAAATATAACTTTGTTCTTTCTTTCTAGAACTACTGTGCTAAAATAATTTGAAATAAGAATAAACATTTCCGAAATGAAGTTAATAGATTTTGGCTTTTAGACTGTCAGGTTCAAAAGTTTTTTAAAACCTAAAAGACTTCGGAGGCCAACTGGTTTTCCAGTAGTTGAAACCGTCTTCTTTTTTTCCCTCTAAGGCATTGAATATCATTCGAAACCCTCCTCAATGACCTTAAAAAATGACCACGTTCAACCACAGTATCCAAAGTAACTCGAACCATAGACTGAAACTTTGTAGTGTGTAGATTTATTGCGTCTGCGTGTTCTTAAGCTCGGTTTATAAATCAGAACATGAACTCGTATTGATGAATACGTTTTTTCGGGACACACCACAAAGCGAAGCGGAGAAGCAGGGAATAAAACGAAGGAAGAGAATGGATAGGCGAAGCGCGTTGGAGAAGGCGAAGAACCAACTCTTTGGATTACAATGCGAGCGAATGGGCGAAGCTAATCGGAGAAGGCTAAGAGCCATCTCAAAGAGATAGGGCATGACAAAGAATAAATAGTCAGGCAAAAGTAAGACAGACATATGACAAGCGAAATAGGCGTGCACACACATGAATAAAAGCGACGAATGATTGACAAGGTGAAATAACAATTGGGACACATCATGTGAGCTCATACAAAAGACCATAATAAGAACGAATGGTACATATAAATTGTTGCTATACAAATGGCTTGGTTAAATAAATTAATCGAAAGGGCTTAATCAAGTTAGATGTAAGCGAACTGGAATATATTTGGAGGCACTACAACTTATCCCTTCTTGATTACATGTGTGTAGACATTCTTACTGTTTATTAACCAGATCCATTAACCAATACCTCACTTCTTTTACACGAGCTAGTATAAAGCAGTTGATTTCTTGCGCTCGATTCTTATTCTTTAGACATAGTTCCGAGTGTTTTTGGTATTTTCCAATGGATAGGGGTCTAGACACTTGACTGCCTGATTCCAGTCAGTGGAAAACTCTAATGCTAATGAGAGTAAGATTTCAGGACTTAGTAAATAATGGGTAATTTAGTTTATTAATTGGTAGAGAAGATCGCGCGAGAGGAACGAAGTGTAATCAAGGAAGAAGAAACAATAATAATAAGCGAGGCAGATCAAGTGAGCGATCTGAGGAGATGACAATAATAACAACTAGCCAGTCTGAAGACATGCATCAGGCACAGCTTGTCCTTGAGGAAGAGGATAATACCTATGTGAGTGCTTGTTTATCAGGTCTCTTAGCTGTACACTGAGTGCGCTGTGATAATCTCAGCTATGAGAGAATTCCAAATTGATAAAAAGTGTGCCCGCACCTAAGTGTTCGCTTTTTGATGAGCACATTTGCGGGGTTTACCTCTCGGGGAATGGTGGCAGTGTATCAGTAAGGTGCTCACGTTGGGTTAGTTTGGCTTGCCTAATCTGTTGTACACCATTATCAAATCACCTCTGATTCTCCTATAACGATCTGTTGAATTATAATGGATGTAACTAAATTAGATAAATTGTTTGCACAACAGCTGAAATTGACGGAGATACTTACTCATACGCACACCTTTTCTCAATTCTCGTCCACACCAACAATTCCTAGGTAAGCTGATGGTATGACCAGTAGTATTTCTGAGTTTCTTTATGATCCTGACCCCAATATTACATTTGATTCTTGGTTCAGGCGCTATGAAGACCTCTTTTAAGTTGATTTCGCTGACAGATGATTCCTGGAAGGTGCGTCTTCTCCGTAGAAAACTTGGTCCGTCAGAACTGGACCAGTATTGCAACTACATCCTGCCTCAGAACCCACGCTACCGATCATTCGATGTTACTGTTCAGTCCCTCAGCAAACGTTTTGGTGATCAGCGATCTCTTTTCAATACACGTTTTTGCTGTTTCAAATTGGTCATGAATGAGTTCGACGATTTCTTGACCCATGCTGGCATTGTCAACCGTGAGTGCGAACGGTTCAAACTCAAATCTCTCACCGATGACCAGTTCAAATCCCTCATATTCATATGCAGTCTTCAATCACCTAAATTCTCCTACATCAGAACTCGGTTGCTTAACCGCTTTGAACAAAACCCAACACTGACAGTCGATTCGACCACTGATGAGTACCCAACGCATCAGCAACTTGCAGCATGACAACACTTTGGTGCAATCTTGGGGCCGGGGTGGTTCCGAAGTTCACGTTGTTCGCCAACAGTTACCTAACCATTATAAAGCTGCCCATGCTACATTAACCTCCAGGTGTAAGCACATGAATCCTAAAAACCGTTAGGGATAATTCAGTTGTGATGTTACTACGTCGTCTTCGCATAAAGTGAAGGGTTGCGTTAACCTTGGCTGCGTCCGTTTTGTAGTTCAAACTGGTATGGAGGCTTTTAGAGGTTATTTAACCAAATTCGCGCTCTGAGGATAAATCAGATGGTAAATTACGCTGAGATTTCAAGTCGTTTGCACTATGTGGGGCAGAATTTACATGCCATGACATTTCGACTGATTTAGTTTTAAACACACTGATTCAAGACTAAAGGACGAGTATCAGCACACCCTGGTGCCATTCCTGAGCGCAAGGATTTAAGAGATTGATACATTGTGGCTTTTTCCTTACGCCAAAAGGACATCTGAAAACAATCTCGTATTTTCAACACTCAAAAAGACTTTCTTTACTCTTCAGATGAACGTAACGGCCCCATGTAATATTCACTGAGGGTATGTAGGTTATGCATACTTGTTGAAACTCGTTAACGCTATTGGCGAGCTCTTCACAACTCTACAGCCGTTGGTGAAGCACTAGCTGTATAAAATGAATGCTTGTGTCATCAAAAACAGTTTTCGAATTATATTACGACATATTACCAATGGCCATCAGTAGAATACAGCAAAACACAAGTGAAAATTCTTAACTAAGCGTCAGAAAGAACACAACTATTGAGAATAATCAACCGGCTAAAATGTCTTTTTCTAATAATCTAACCCGTAAAAATCCCAAATTACTGGAAAAACAAGATAACTTGCAGGTTAGTGAACTGTCTCATGTTATTTAAATAGAAAATTCTCAACGTCATCTCAGCCATACAAGGCCTTGCTGACTAAAATACATGTAGATTTAACTAGTAGATTTTGTTTAGCTTTAGCCGGAAACTAAACAACACCTGTCCAAATGACAGTAAGATCAGTCAAAATTCTTAGCAATTATTCCGATCCATAAAATAAATCAGCACTTGAATATCAGCAGTCAGTGAGTTTGTTTAGAAAAACGTACCCATTTTCTCTCACTGTTTGGGAGGACAGACCGACACGATGAACACCTTTTGGAGCGGTTTACCTGGCAATGAGCTATAATCCTTTTATTCGTTGTTTATAAGCAACAAAAACTAGAAACTGGTACAAGCCCCTGAAATTTTTGTACAGCGAAAAGACAAGAGCTAATATGAAAATGGGATAAGTTGTCCAAAAGATCAGTGGGAAGGCCGGGGATGCTTCGTCTGTATAACTGAATTTCAAGAGGCGAACTTAATCAGAACCGATTATTTTTAATTGGCGACTATTCCTAGTCACAGAAAAAGGGTCTTTTAATGATAACCAGTTTGATTAATTATTATTTAATATAAGGATCTTTGACACCTGACTGTTTCTTATTAAAAACGAACGCACGAAACGAGGTATATTTTAGACATGAAAAAGAATGCACTGGCGAAAGGCTAGATAATGGGGAGTGACAAATCTAGCAGTATCTATAGAATTCACTGAACTATGTAGACGGTGATCGTGTATAACAATGTGTCGCTATAAATTGCATCAAGAGGCACAGAAGGGCCTTAGGGACTCTATAGGCAGACTTTTCTGGTAGGGTCACAGCTTATGTAGGACTTCGGTAACAGCTTTCAACCTCAAGTTCTGTTGTTATGTGCCCCGTACTGTTTACTTGAGTGTCTAATTTAAATGTATGTTATTCTGGAAACAATATTTACTTCATCTAACATTACCACTTGTCAAGCTAGTCACCTGCTCATTTAAAAAACACTGACAACTTAGTATTTTTTGATGTTATAATTTTAAGAATCACTTGTTCCAAGTGGAAATGTAACACGAGAATTAGTAGTTAGTTTCATCAACTAATGATTTTGAAAGTTCGATTAGCTTTTATACCTTGGTTTGTGTCAAAAGAATTGGTTAGCTTCAAAACACCTTTGACCTTTCTTGAATAGGAAGGCTGTTCACCTGTCAACCAAAAGGTATTCATACTGAGTAACATTCCGTAACCTATTAAATAATGGCTGCGTAAATTTCAAACAGGAACTGACACAGTTTTTCAGGAGAAATTCCAACGTAACTGGAAATGACCGATTAGGCAATGTCGAAGTTAGGTATGGATGGGTAAAGATGGCTGACATGTTGGTTCGATAATGAATTTTCGTCTACTGATAATTTTAGGGTTAAGTAAAGTCTTCAGAGAAGTTGCAGGTTTAACTGGTAAACCACTAGAAAGATGCAATTATTTAATTAGGGGTAATTAAACTGAAATATAAGCTTAAAACATAAAGTCTTTGGCTTTCACTCTAGTCCATGTTGCCATAAGTGTTATTCGGGATCAAGACGATTTGTGTCACTGGTTAGAGACATCATAAAGCATGCCAGAGAATAATTTTTGTTCAGTGAAATCGAAATTTAAAAAGGAAATTTCTGGGACTTCTACACTCCAGCAGGGTTATTTTGCGATACCAAAGATACGGAACCACTTCCCAAGACTAGACTACAAAGGCTTATTCGAATAAATTACGTGTACATCAATCAATGTCCACTTAAATTTAACGATGATTTGGAAGGTTACCATAGATCAAAAAAATAGCAACTGAAGCAACTGTATTTACCTCATTGAAAGATAGCTCAAAGATAATGGTTTTGTTTCTCCAGTTCAATAAGCAATAAAATGTGTGACCTTACGTTATATCATAGCTGTAGAACTTTCAAAACTTGACATATGTAGCCACTCGTGTACAAATGGTTAAAGGGATAGCTGTCCTTTTTGAATATGAAACACCTAAGCTTGTACAGATTTCAAACATCAAAATTGGAGTTACCCAGCGGTTACTCCAATTAGTCATCCTAATATATGTCGTTTGGTAAAATGAGATTAAGACTGATTATGCTTTATTTAAAACAGCTGGGTTATGATTTATGAAAAAGGATATCAAGAGAATGATATCGCCAAGAGTGCAGTAACAACAAAAGTAAAAGGAGTTGGCTTTACAAACTATTCTCATATTCCGGGGATCGGAATACGTAGTTGGGACGTGGCGGATTATATAGTCCCACCTTTGGAAAATAATGCATTATTCGTTGTCACGAATATGATAAAAACTGAACGGCAGTCACTTTCCAAGTGTCCGGAGGTACATATTTCATTATTATAAATTTTTTAGAGTTCATGGATCCCTGAGGCAGCTTGTCTCAACGACTCAGACTGTAAACCATACTTTATTACTCACCTTGGCAATGGTGAGTCAATAGCAATCTGTCTATGCACTTTTATTATACATCTTGATGCTCGATATCATTTTTGTATTGTTTTTAGAAATTTAAAGCTTTATTAGTCATTCAATTAATGATATTCTACGTTGAGGTTACTTCAGTTTATGCTTATTTATTTGATAGTTATTCATCAAATGGTATTTTAACTAGTACAGGAATTCCTCCAACGTGTTTGAAACTAAAACAGAGTTGTGATTTACTTACTTTTCTAGGAATTCGGGTTTTTGTTGAACAACCAAGAGTTTTTATTGAACGTTTAGCAGATTTAATGAATACTCTGCTAGCTATACAAAACTATAGAACCCAATAGGACAATATAAAGCCATTATTTTAATTAAAATCACATCGCGTTATGCCAGTGATTTTGTACATACTGTCTTTACTATTGACTTGGTTCTCATCATTCTACGCCTCAGAAAGAATAAGATAAACTGATAGAGCATACTGTCTCAACTGTCAAGATAAAAACGACCTCAATGTATGCAAAATATTATGTTGGCTCTTCCTTCAGAAATAAACTTCAGTACAAACAATATTTATAGAGGGATTTAGGTTTGATAAATAATTTTAAGTCCTGTCCTATCGGCAATTTGTTCTCTATGTAAATTTTTCGTTGCTTCAGTTATCGAAAAAAACACTTTGAATTTTTAGTTACGTATATGAACTTCACAAAATTGTACTTATTGTTTGACTACTGAATGTAAACTTAATTAACCTTGGAACAAAAGACATTTCGCTGTGGAAATATGGATATTCTCAGATTTATTCATATATCACAAAACAAAATCTAGATATTTTGTTAAAAAACAGTGATAACCAATTGTCCTGATCTTAACAAACTACCTAGGTTACGTAGATTTTGTTTAACAATTTGGCTTACAGACAATTATTTTAATTCACTATTCTGTGTATTGAGTGAAAAACAAAAGCCCAAAATCATTGTCTTGAATGCTTTTAGTGAAGACATTTTTAACGTGTGTTACTTTCTTTGAAAATTTATTTGCTTTTGCCGATTTACAGTGGAAAAATCTTGTGACATGGCCTGCTAAAGTTTAGTAAGATTAAAATACACAAATGTATCTGTTCATTCATTCCCTAATGTGCTATCACTATCTTCTACAAGTCTAGCTCAGCATAAAGTGTGAGCAAACAATATTGTTTGCTTACAAGTACTACTCTAACTCAAAATATATGAGTTTTCAATGTAATAGGGTGGAAGCAATAGTAAATATTGCAAAATATATTCATGGTTTGGAGTACTTTGATTGAGACTTTAAACCGTCTGTTTATGACCTAAAATTATTTCCTTTTCACTTTTCAAAGGCCTAATTTCATCAAATTACCTTCATTTGGAAAAAGTCACAATACAGTAAATTTTTTAATTGTCCTCCTGTTTATCGTCGTTGCTTTTTCTACCATTTATTAAGCATTCATAATAAATTTTCGCAGTAGATCGGGCCAAACATGTGTTTAAGCCGCTTTCATTCGATGAAATATCTAATATTTGGTAGAATAAAGTTTTATTCTTAATGAAACAATCATTATCTAGAATATGGGACTTATTATCTTTGGTTTCAAGTTGACATTACAATAAATAGCCTAGTGTCATTGACAGTAGAACTAAATATGAAATTAAGATAACTTATTTTTGAAGAGTCACCTCTTGCTGACTAAATTATCTTCACATTGGAAATAATTTTGAAATACAAACGCCAGTATTATCAAGCACAATTTCATGTTCATTCAATATAATGATAAAATGACAACAAGTCTTGTTTGGCGTAATTTCAGGCATGATCTATCCATCTTTTCACTGTTAATAGTTAATTAAACTTTAACATCGATCAATGAATCTAACCTTTAAACATTAATGTGCAACATTGTCTAATGAATTTATCTGAAGCAAGAAGAATTTATTTAGACCACAGCATATACGTCATCCAGTAATCTGTTCGATGACCGTATATATAGATGAAAAGATGTAACGCATTTTCTCCTGAAAATTCTCTATTGATGTCAATTATTTCAAATATTTCGATCGTAAGAATAATTTTAACGTAGACACTGTAGTAAACTTATGGACTGTTGATTTCATCGTATCCTTTCATTTATGAAAACAAACTAATTTTAAGAAAAACATGTTGCATTTGAAGGTTGAAAATTATGTATGCAGATATATTTTGGAAAACTAACATAAATGTTTGTCATTTTACTGTCTTTGTTGTTGCCATATATGTCATCCAGGTTATTAATGATTCATCTTTCTTTTTGAAATACTTGGGAATATATTTAAAAATAAGGATCACCTTGCCGGCTAAGTTAAAAGCTCATTTTAACAATTGAATTATGGCACAACTTTAGGTTTTATGGGTAAAGTCTAATGATTAGTTTTAATTGTATTTTGACTATCTTTAAAAAATTAGAGCATAAATTACTTTTTAATTCCTTTTTCATTATATCCATTTAGGTGCTCATACAGGCAAATGTATCATTAAACCAGGCTGTGATATTGGATCATGTGAAATCTATTCTTGGTGTCCATTAGAAAATGATACTTTACCACTTGGTAAAAAATCATTTTTATTCCCAATGGTTTATAATTACACTCTGCTTATTAAAAATGACATAAATTTCGAAAAATTTGGCATACATCGGTAAGTTGTTGTAAATAAAAACTAATCGTATTAAATATTGTATTTCAAAGAAGTTTTTTTAATATTTTTTTATTTCGATAACAAAACAAATCGTTATTTGTTTTCAACAAAATTATTTATCTTTTGTCAAGGAATATTTCGTTAGTTATTTTTAATTAGTTTAGAAATACCTGTTTCTTACTTAGCTTATTCTGAATATGCTTCTGTAATAGTCTTCGACTTGATTCACTAACATTGAGCATTGCCTAACTTTTTTCCATTCACTTATGTAGAGTGAAAGTATTAAGGATGGTATCGTTAAGTTGAATTATATATTCGCTTATATCCAGCTAGTTGGCTAATCTAGACAAAAATACGTAGGCAGTGACCGTGACCATAATTTGCTAACGCACAAAGTTCAACCACTTCTAAATTTCACATCTACTATTTGAGTTTTGAAGTAAAATTTAATTTGTCTAACCTACCCTCAAAACCTTCTATAAATTTTTGATCTTTGGATTCAGTTGAGTTTTGGGTTTCATGATATACTACACTGCTTACTGTTAAGTTTCATTTCAGTAGCATTATTTACTGTTAGTTGTCACTAAAAGTCAACGAGTTTTGACTACATGCTAACAAATCGTTTCGATTATATAATGTGTGTTTGTCATTGTTTTCAAACCAGCGTACCTTTGTACACAGCTTCATTGACAAAATATTTTCAACCGGTATGAATGAATTTTATTTTCATGGTTGGTAATGTTGGCTCTGTGCGACACTGAATTCAGTCACTAAAATAAACTGTAGATTAAGAAAGATACTTAAACTCTTATTTCAAGAAAAATCCAAAACAACCAAACAATATTTTCCTCAGAATCTCATTAATTTACTAAATAGTCCAAGTTTGAGAATCGAATTGAAAATAAATAAATTCTTGGTTGAAGTGTTCGAAGAAATTCAAGCTCATGCAATAAAAAATGAAGTTTTCTGGAATCAATGGGTACTTAATTTATTGTTTACTAATTAAGAATTACATGATAATGACACTGACTAATTTATACTACAGGGAAAACAGAATAAAATAAAACGAAGATTAATTGTAAATTCTCTAAGGGTAAATTTCTTAAAAAGAAACATAATATTTTTAAAAAGACAATCTAAAAATCATTTCATTTAAAAAAAATTATTGGAAACCAAACTCATCAACTTATTGAAATTAATCTCACTTGTTGATATCAACAGAAGAGATGTTCAGCTGGATGCTTTATCTGTCGAGATATTCTTACCTAGTGACTTGTATCCGTAGTATCAAATTAGTCTCTCATGCCAATTCCCTTAATTCGGTTCCAGTAGTAAGGTATCATAAAAATATCTTGACACCCAGCTGATTATTTAAATGAATACTTGTTGCAATTAAATAACTGTTAATTGTCAAAGAATCTAATCAACAATAATTAATTCTCTATTATTACCCTGAGAACTCCGAATAAAACGTTAACATCATATAGATTTTTTTTCCACTGAGATTATTTCGAACATGGTTTTGACGTATGATATATTCCATTGACTTAGTGTCCGATTTCTATCAAACTATTAGTTCAAATACTGACAGATGTTGACATTACGTAAACTGGTAGCATTAAAAAATATTGCATAAGCATTTTGTCATAATAATAAAAAACATGTAATTTACACAAATGTACTTAGGATTGAATTCGATATCTATGCTGATATAAAATTTTCGAATATTATTGATCTTTACAATGGTTATATCAAAATAGCAAGAAAGCCTGCAGTGACAGTGTCATAATGAATGATATTTATCAGAGTTGCAGTTATAGTATGCTTAAAACTATTCTCAGTACTCCACATAATGATAAAGCGAAACGTGGTTGTATGAATTTGCTGTAAATCACATTTAAGACTAAACATATAAAAAAAAATACTGAGTTAAGCCATTGTTGTTATAATTCATACTACATATAAGATAATATCCAAATTACTAGCCATTCTCTATCATGAACAAACTGAGGTAGGAGTATTGTCGAATAATTGTTTCAGTTTGTTCATAACTAAGCATATTTTTTTTTTATTGTAATAATTTCCAGTAATTAAATCAATTATTCACATTCAAATTTGAATTACTTGTTATTTTCAAAGTGAACAAGTTTATTTAAATTATTCATTCTATTGTACATTGACAAGATATTTACACAGGGATATTGAGATTTAGTGAGTTCACTGATGATTATTTTTATTTTCCGCTCATAATGAGTTTATATGAGTACTAAATAATCACTGTTTAGGAAGATGTTTAGCAGAAAAGTAGGCGAAATAAATCTACTTGATGCAACCTTGTGGAAGAAGACTCAGTTCACAAATTGAAAACATCCATTCGAAAAACAAACGTATTCTTGACTGTCTTCCTCTACGTGTTCTTTTCTTCAAAAAACACTGATTATGCCATGCGTCCGTAAACTGAGAAGGACATTATGTTGCTTATCCGCTGCATACTGCTTATTTGCTTTGTTGTAAGTAGTACGAACCTCACCACCACATTTTTATGACAAATCTTTCAATAACCTAAGCTAATTAGTGTTTATAATATAAAGATAGCTAATCAAATATTGAAGCTTGTTTTTTTATATAAGCGTACTTAAATGAACTCATTGCCTTTACTGTTTTGCTAAATTCAACCGACGGTCATATATTGTCTTATCCGAGGCAGGAAATACCTTCAAATTTAAATATTATTTCTATTCATGGTAATTGTTTTTTTCTTCTAGACGAAATATTCAAAATTGGGCATCTAAAAAATTTCTTCGGACATGTTTATATAATAAAACCGACCCAGAAAATCGATTTTGTCCAATCTTTCAGTTCAGTACAATTTTCGAAGAGGCCAACGTGGATGAATCAATTTTTATTAGCGTGAGTAATTTATTATTGAAGTATGCATGTATAAATTTATATTCATGATTATTCTCAGTATTTTCAGAAAAAAATACTACTCAAAACGTTTTGTTCTGTCAACATCCAATTGACTTATAAAAAGTTCTATTTTTCTGGTTGTTAATAATAAAGACTTCAATTATTCAATCTTCACTGACATAAATGATTACTGAACTAAGTAGCAGCTGTTTCGGCATAGCCCTTTTGTAGATAACCAGTTGGTGTTCAAGGTGGGTTTAATTCTCGATGTAAATGTCAACATTTGAGATGAGGTCTTGAGTTTACCCCAACTTCATTAGAACACATTACAGACTGTGAATAGTCTTAAAATTCTATAGGCTCAATCTAATCTAAAAATTATGCTTGTAAATCGGTTGTAAAATTCATTCTTTTACCGCAATCAAGCTTTTGGAGGAGTTTCACTTTTTAAGCTGAATGTGTTTAATCCTGAAGCTTTCATGGTCTCTTGATACAGTTTGAATAGCGCACTTTCATTTAATTTTTGTATTCATAGGGCTTTCCAAAAGGACGATGAAAGTGTACATATTAAATCATCTTGATTAGAGAATAAGACCTTGCCAATATCATCCGCTTGCCTTATAATTTTTTTCCACTATTTCACATTTACATTTTAGTGCACAGTTTCCATGCAATGCTAATGTAATATCTTCAAATTAAAAGGCAAATTAATAATGCCTCTTTAAATAAAGCAGAACAGATGACTTATTCATATCACTACAAATGATTTAATTGTGACAACAATTATTGAAAATGTGTCTGTTCAAATTTCAACGGTAATAATTCTAATGTAACTTCATTTAATCAATCACTTTCAAAATCAAATATATAGATCATGTAGTACAGTTGAGTTCGTCTTCAATGAATAACTTTGTTAAATATCCATATATTAGGCAAATGTATATAAAGCACATTATAAATCAATGTTATTTCTACTTGAATTGTGTTACAGACTAAATATAAAATTTCAATCAGAATTCCAAATCACTAGAATAGAAATTTATTCATGTGAAATAAATAATCTATTTCATGAGCTAATAATATTTTATTTCTGATATCTGTTTCATATTTTCTACTTCAAGGTGATTGATTGAAGTATCAACTTAATTTATGAAACAATAAGCTAATGATTATGACATTTTCACATGGGTAGACTGGTTCTTTTGTAAATTAAAATAAACTAAAAGAAGCATTTGTAGAATAACATGAATTCAATATTCTAATCAACTAATTGCAGATGACTTAATTTTACATCGTAAAATATTTAACCCAACTGTGATCATTAAAGTTCCGCTTGGAACGATATCGAAAATAAAAATAGAAAAACAACACATTCAAGATAATAGTTAAGATCAATTAATATTAACATGTGAAGTCGCGATAACCAAATGGGCGAAGTTATAACTAATAATAAAAGGACAATAATTTTAATCCTAGAGTTAAGAAGATTGTTAAGCTTCATTAAAATAATGAATCGATCATTTTTAGACCACCTTTAGAATCCTGAAAGCACTGGAATGCCATTCGTCCCAGTATGGGGCTCATCAGTAGTGCACATCCAAGACACTTGATCGTAGGAATCGAAACCGGGACCAGTATTGCGTAATTCCACCCACTGCCTACACCCAACAGGGTTGAGCTCGACTGGAACTCAGAGAACTTCCTCAAGAAGTTAGCCTTTTTAGTGAGTACATTTTATGATTTTAATTGGAGATTTATTAAAACTGGTAAGTTTCTGCCCTTAAGTTCGATTTCCGCAATCAGGGATGGTGGGTACGCACTGATGATTAATCCCAAACTGGGACCAAACTGGAATCACTATTTCAAAATAAGAACAAATTGTTAATACAAAAGTGGTAATCTAAGCCCTTAGTTGATTTGAAATTTAAATTAATGTCACAAATAAATGTCAGTGAAATTTATTTTAGGTTAATAAATTTTTTAGAGATATATTCAAAAAAGATTTAAATAGCATAACTGTCTTATCATAGCGATGAGAGTTTCGCCATATATGCTTGCTGTAAGTCGAAATCGCTTGATGGTAATGACCTCTATAAAGTGGAGTAAAAGTTGTGTTCTCTACTACTTGATTATTTTAATTATTTCTTTTATAACTACGCTATTTCCACTAAACATTAAATGTAGCAATAGTTTTAATGGTGAGCATTTCAGGCTTTTCGAATAATAAGGACCATGCACTGAAAAATATACCTTGATAATGGCAATCTCGTAACTCGCCTTAACAAACAACCAAGAATCCAGACAATTACTGATAAATATGGTACTTACTGACGTGACAATATCCAAGAACACTTATAGAGTTTCTTCACTACTAAACGAATTTGAATAATACTTTGTATGAAGTTGTTAAATCCTGTTGCGTAATCTGGCTGTTAAATACTGGCATGATTAGAAACAAAGAATCATTCAGCTGTCACTGTTTCATATGTTGCGCCGTACTTACCATGAAAAGTAAAATATCATATATTTAAGTAGATCAAATATATGTTTATACAGTTCTGTGTTATTTCAGTGTACAAACTGATAAGAAATTAGATCAGTCTAACTTCTTCGAGATGGTCAATGTAAATTTGATGTAAAATGGGCTTGCAAGTTTCAAGTTGCAAGTTATCAATTCAATAATTGAAACTTGAATGAAAATATAAACTGAAGCCTTAAAGTTTCAAATCAAATAATTACACACAAACTTTATAATTTCTGTTCACGTAAAAACATCACAATATTTCAAATAAAGATTCTTTTTCTTAATAAACTTTTTCCCATTGAATATTTAATCAATAAATTACACTTTGTTATAATTCTAAGTTGATTTCCGTACAAATAAAAAGAAAACTACTTAAAATTATATTGTGAAATAATTACTAAACAGAAAAATAGAAATAGATTTAAACGTTATCACCATTATGCATACAACTGGGCTCGTATCGAAACATTTTTTTCAAATATTAAGAGCCATATATTCACTCTACTCTCTTAGCTGATTCATTTCATTCATTCATTCAAATAAGTCGCTTTACAATTTACATGATTATCACAGTGAAGTATGAAGAAAATGACTGAATTAAGTGGAACCCTGCTTTTAAAGTAAACTTCTTAAACTATGAATAAAACTTCCTCATTTTTCGACTAATTTGACAGTGATCATTGATAATAAAATTTTATATTTCTGATAAATGTAAAACTTTTCGTTTTAATTAATTTTCTTATTTCAATGATGTGAGCACTTTATTAGGTTTTTACTTTCAAGATGTATCAAAAATTCAAAGCCATTTAACACTGATATTATTACACATTTTCTTTTGAATTATTTTCAAAAACAACTCAACAATTTTTATTTTGAATGGATTTTAAATATATGCTGTAAGTAAGGAGTTACGTCATAGCATGATCTCTGTAATCAGGTTTGATAGTTCAAGTTTGCTTTCTGAAATATTAAAGATTGTAACAGTCAGAAGAAAGCAGTTCAACTAATTTGAATTCTTAACGTAAAACTATTTCTATCCCTCATTTTAAACGTTGCTTAGTTGCTGTTTTGTTAGTCTTTACGTTTGTTTATTAAAAGATAGGAATGGATCAATGTGTTCGACAACAGACACTTCAGCAGCAATCACTCATTGTTCAAATGGATGACAGTAAGAAATCAAAAGAGACAAATTGATTTCAAGCCTTTTATTTTCTGAGATATTTCAATTTCACAGAGACATATTTGTTCTTAAAGTTTCAGCATACGGTAATAATTATTTACAGCCTTTCTTTATCACCTATCTTAACTTTAATAAATATTGTTTGAGTATATGCAAAGTCCCTTTTGATCGTTTGTCGTTTTCTACCAGGTTAGAGAAATGATAATACAAGAATCGCTACATTTTTTTCCATTATATAACAGTAGTGGATTCAATTCTTTCGTTATGATACTGTCATATAAATCATGTAAAAAGAACCTTTTAGAATAGTTCAGAAGATACTTTTACTAGACGACGGCTGAAGTAAATGTATATTCCTATCAGCATTCGAGATCTTTCATCGTAAATGGTCATTTTCTTTATAGCTTTATGAAACAATGATTATTTCAGTTCATTTGAAATTTACAAACGAATCAATTATTGGTAATGTACTTTTAGACATTGACATTTTCTCTTAGGAAAAAAACTGTTCTTATAAACTTTTCTAAAATAAATTATTGAAATTTTCAAATGTTCGTCTCCAACAAGATAGATGTAGTTTGTTGCGTATTGTTTCTACAAAACTCCAGGTTCAAACTTCAGGATATTTCATTTTTTACATTATGAACAAACAAAATATTAGTTTAGTGAATTTCGCTAAATTGTATTCCATATAAAGTTGTTAAGATAAATCATGTATTATGGATTCTTGTTTCATTTTCTAAAAATGTACATACATGTGTATACATCAGTATTTCATTACAGAGTTTAGCAAAAATATTGTGGCCACTTACTAAAGTACATTTTTTTTTAAAGCACATGTTCATTTTATGTACAATAAACTACAGGTAAATGCTTTTATCCTTCTTTGATGAGTTGAACTATCGGCCAATGAGTTATACCCGTTTGTTTGCTGACATTGGATGTTGTTAAGATTTATCCACTAGATCTCCAAAGTCAATTAGTTGTAAAAAGCCAACTGAAATGTTTTCATGTAATAGGATCGTATAAAATGACATCTCAACATTTGTTGGCTCTCATCAGAGATTGGCACTGTCTGAAGGATTAAGGAAATGTTGTGAACAGTAAATAATCGATTTAGCTTTTTTTTATGATGTCTCAGCTGCGTGAACTCATTAGCAAGCAAAAGAATACTGATAATCCCATTCAAACCCCTCGATAAAAACGATATCTTTCTATCACAAGGTTGTCCATAGTCATACAGTTTATGTTGGTTTATGATTTGAATTACCATGAAGAAAAGTTTCATTGGCAATC